CCTAGAGGCAAGAATTTAATTTTTTTAGGATTTTTTTTTCTAGATTTGGTGTAATCTGTGGAAAAATAAACAAGCAAACCCATGCAGCAGCTTTCAGCACAGGACTTGGGAAAACTCAGAGGCTATTCTGTCACCTTTTCTAAAAATCAATGCAGTATAATGTTATGTGGTGTCTAGGTCTGCCTTTTAAAATGGAATAATTACACATTTAAAGGGAATAAAAGTACTTTTTCCTAACATAGTGGAATAAGTAGGTGTTGACTGGACATGAAGCCTTTATTTGAAGGCTAAATCTGTAGTATGGGCCAACTAGCTGGTAAAAAAGCACCCTGTGTTGATTGGTTTATTTAACTTTCTTCCAGCAAAATAGCATATTGTGCTGTTGTCCTTCTACTGCATGAGAAGAGCCTAAAATAACAGAAGCTGTTATGACATCTCTCAAAGCCTGCCTTTGTCAAGGTCACAGTTCTATTTTTGCTGTGTTTTGTGCACACAGAGATAGGTACAGTAGGAATGTACATTTTATAACTAAGATGCTGAGTGTAAAATGAAAATGCAACTCCCACACTTTGTTATACAGAAACATAACATATATTGGCTGATTGTTAGCCTGGATCTGTGTGCTGCTCAGCTTGCTCATCAGCAGAGACAAAGCTCTAGAATTAACCTGTGGATGTTCTTTCTTGACTCGCAACCCAAAATTTCTGAGGAACACAGGTAAAAGACAGAGGTTCTGCCTTTAAACCACATATGTAATCTTTATATTCTTAAATATGTGGAAGCTTTATATAAGTGGGCTCTGCTGGCTCATTCAGTTCTACCAAATTTGTGTATGGTTGTGCTAAAGATGTTGAGATTAACAGCTCTTTCTCAAGTGTATTTGGAGCAACAGAGTGTGGCAAAGATGAGGGTGTGCTTTGGAGCCAGAAGTTGATAGAGGTGTACTATGCTGAGTGTTATTAAACATATGGATAATGTGTTTGAATCTGGGTCTATGCTGATGGTTTTAGTGTGGGAGAATACTGCGAAGCAACTTCTGTGCTTGTTCTGCCCATCTGCATTCCTGTGTTTGAGCTCCTGCTGTGGGAGGACACAGTTCTGGATCCAGGGCTAAATGGAGACTTTGAGCCTTTATGTCTTCCTGTTACACAGGATGTACTGACCAGGATGGCTGCTGTATGTCCTGCTTTTGACTGGGACAATGCTGTTTTCTTCCTAGTAGCTGGTGCATTGCTGTGCTTGGGGTTTGGTATGAGAATGGTGCTGATAACACACTGACTTTTTGGTTGTGGCTAGGTAATGCTTGCTAGAAGTCAGATCCATGTCAGTTTCCCATGCTCTGCCAGTGAGGAAGTGCACAAGAAGCCCTGAGGAAGCATGGCCAGGACAGCTGACCTGAGCTGGCCAAAGGGATATTCCGTACCATAGAGTGACATGGTCACTGTATAAACTGGGGGGAGTTACCTGGAAGGGAACTGATCTGCTCCTCAGTAAGCAGGTGATGAGCAATTGTACTGTGCATCTCTTTTCTCTTGGGTTCTATTATTTGTTCTTCCTCTCCTTGTAATTTCAATTATTATCAGTATTAGTATATTTATTATCATGATATTTAGTTGCGCTTCATAAATTGTCTTATCTCAACCCATGAGGTTCACCTTTTCTTTCTACTCCTCCCTTTCCCCATGGATGGTGGGTGTATGGTGGGAGCAGTGAGGGAGTGGCTGCCAGCTGGAGTTAAACCATGATGCTGTGTCATGTGGAATGAAATTTTAAGGTGACACTGGATAAAAATGCTTTGCCTGTAGGAAAAAAAAATCAACTGTTCAAACAAAATCCAACCACTTAACACTGAAGTGAGCAATGATGTTGTAGTATTGGCTGTGCTAAATTTGTGAGGATGATAAATAAGAGGGATACAGGGAGGAGATTGAAGTTTTCTGCATTAGCAGAAATGATGTTTCAGGAGTCAGGAGTACATATAGGTAGAATGATGTATTTTGGTTTTATATGTATTCATGCAGGTAAAAATTCCTGATATGTGTGTTGCTTAATGTTAGTTGTCAAAACACGAGTAGACAAAAAATAGTGAATAGGACAATGTATTTTATTTGCTAAAAGAAGTACATGGAGGGGCTGCTTACTTAGAATTTTCTATATATTGTAATATTTATGTGTATAGTTAAGGTACTTCATTTATAATATGCTAGAATATACTTCTAAAAGCATTGAGTAGTTTACTTGATACATTTCTTTTTAAAGGAAAGAAAAAATTTTATGAGTAAAACATATTGCATAGTGTTTTTAGTGTTCTGAGATGTTAAAAATTGTAAGGAATTGAAATATTATATTAAATACCTGTACAAGAAAAGCCTTTCTATATAATAGGCTATCCAGTATTGTTGGCCTAATTTCTTTCTTTTTTTTCTTAACTTCTAATTAGGAGTTAAACATATCACTGTGTTCTGGTTTGTGGCACAGTGTCTCCCAGATGTGTCTGAATTTGGTGCATCTGTTGATAGATAAATTAAGGTTGTATTGACAAAGATCCTGGGAATTAGATGTATTTTAAATGAATGTTTTTGGGTCTTTCTGTTTCATAATACAGGTATTATGTTCATTGCAGGTCAGTTTGTCTGAAAGTTACTTGCAATAATAACCATGTTGTGACTTGCTTGTAGCTGTTCATCTTCAGAGTGAAATACTTTCATCTTTCTGCTCACATGAACATTAAACAGTGAGAAGCAAGTATAGAGTAACATTGACTTTTAAGACCAATTGCTTTTCTCATGGTGGAGAAAGTTGGGTAAATTGCATTTTTGTGAAGCTTGTAATTAGCTTTATAGTTGGGTAAAACTTGATGTGGTTGAGCTCTGCAAAACTTTGCTCAATTTTCTGATCTAAGGGTTGTTGAATGAATTATTGAAGAGAGTAAGAAACATGTAGTAAGAGTATTCTAGAAAGTTTTCAAAGCATTTTCAAATCCTACCTGATTTTTTTTAAACTAAAGATGGATTTACATGAGAGTTAGGATGATCAGCAAGTTGCACTACAAACCTGCAGAAGAAATAACAGGAATGATGCAAACTGTCATAAATCTTTTAAGTTCCTTAGGGGAGAACGCATTGCTGCACTTTGCCTGGTGAAATGACATTTCTCATGAACAAGGGATGTGGTGTGGCATGACTAATGTGCAGAGATGCAGGTGGAAGTTGAAAAGCATAGTATGGGTTGCAAGCTCCTGTGTTTTACTCATCAATTAAAAATTTTCAGTCTTCCAGTCTGTGTGTAACTTGGAACTGTGGCTGACATAACTGGAAGATAGTTAAGATTCATAGTTGTGTTTGGTGAGTGCAACAGCAGCAAATTCCACTGCTCTGTCAGAAGACAGCTTTTGTTTTAGACTGAAATTTGGAATCAAATCAAGAAGTTTAAGGTGTTTCATTTTTCTTTCTTCCATTTCTGTACTTTAACTTCAGTGTGGGTATTAACTGAATGTTGTGAGAAACCCCTACCATGTTGGTCATGATGACTATTGTGTATTTCATATAATTGTGGATTACTTTGAATTTCATTTTAAAGGACATCTAGTCCACCTTGCAAGGAACATTTTCAACTTGATCAGGTTGTTCAGAGCCCTTTTCAACCTGACCTTGAATGTTCCCAGGGATGAGGCATCTGTCACCTCTCTGGGCAACCTGTGCCAGTCTATTCTTACTATAAGCACTTTTGTACCAGTTAGTCTCCCAGTATAATACTGCTTCTGGGTTGTGGATGTTAATGAAAACGTAAAATAAACTATTGCTAAAACAGACCCTCTAATTTTTTTTTTCGCCAAAATACATGTAATTTAATGGTATATAAGGTAATCTGTAATTTCAAAGTTGGATGCTTTAAAATATTCAATGGTTTATACATAGCATGTTTTTCAGTTAACTGCAAGTATCAGGTTGAAGAATAGTTTCTAAGACCTTAGATTTTCTTAATAAATACTTGCAAAATATTTATTTGGAAAAGAAAGTCATGTTCCAAAGTAGTCTTGCAGTGTCCCTCACTAGTTCACCTAAATCCAGTCCTGGTTGTGATTTTCAGTTTGAATGAATATTTTCATTCTAACTGGATTTTAGACGCATTATGCAGTCTGCTGCAGGGATTTCACATCAGTCTTGTGCATGAAGTAAAGACTGGAGTTCATACATTAAAGTCCTAAAGGATTAGTGAAGTTCCTGCTGGCATTCACTGTCCTTTTGGACTTCAAAGAACATCTGGCAGATTTTGTGAGGTGTATTGGCAGATCAGTTCTCACTAGTGTGTTGAGAAAACGGTGTGTAAAACTAATTTAGTCATACATAGAACACTTTCACAGCTCATCTAGTTATAACATTGTAACATTTTTACAGTTGCTATATGTGTTTTTTCTTACCTTTGCTCAGGATCAGCTTAATAGAAGACAAAAGGTGTCTTGTTCCTTTTCCACTCAACTGTGTTTTAATATGTGTATTTGAAAATTACTTGACTTTTCCAGGTCCTTGGAAAACAGCAGCAATATGATTTGTGGTAATGAATTTTGAATGCATAGCAGTATACATGCAATGGAAATTATTTGATGTATCCAAACTTCTATGCTCATAGAGACAAAAATTAGCCCCGAAGTACAAAACAAAAAAACCAACCTTAACAGATTAATTTTCTCTTTATAGGACTTACAGTTTTTACAGTGGTGCTTACAATTCCAAATTCTAGGCTTTATTGGTGTAAATATTTTGGCTACTGGCAATAGAATTTCTATGGTTGAACTGCACACTTTCAAATAAAAAAGTGCGTACTTGTGTAGAATAAACATTGCAAAAAGACCTCAGGCAGAATAAAGTATAATTACAGATTCCTATTATGTAATATTTTGTAGAAATAATTGGAGATTAAATTCTATTGAAATGGTACTTTATTCAGTGGAGAAATGTTTATGATTTTTAATTGAAATTTTTTCCCCATTTTCTTTCCAGGTATTGCTTTGTTTTCGCTTTAGGATACCTCACTGTGTGCCAAATTACTAGGGTCTATATCTTTGATTATGGACAGTATTCTGCTGATTTTTCTGGGTAAGGAGAAAAATAATCTTCCTATCTTTTCCTCCTAAGTGATACTGTATCTGTTGTTGTTGGGGATTTTTTACTTGTTGCTCTCCCCCCGCCCCCCAATTAATTGTGTCAGCCTTTAAAACTTTGGGAGAAAGCTGAACATGTATGTGCATATTGGCACACATGCAAATATATAAGTAACTATGCTTTAATCATACAAACTGAGAATTTTGTGAACAATTGTTCTTCTTAGAACCACGAATGTGTTATCTATTGCCTCTTGTTCCTGGCTGAATGGCATAAAGGATTTGGTGGCTATGGGAATTTTTTCTCTTTGATTTTTCCATTAAAGTGTCTGCTACCATCCTTGACAGCATGATGAGCCTTGAATTGTGTCTGGTGTACTTACTTGCCTGGCACAGTCTGATACCACTTTTTGAGGAAAATCAGAACGTTTTATGGAATTTAGCTTTTAGCTTCTTTCTTTTTTTCATTTTATGTTAGATGTTCCAGAAGGAGAAAGCTAAGGAGACAGGCACCTGGATGTTGAGGTAGTCACAGAGAAACAGAAGGTTTTGTCTGTTTGCCCTCATATTATATTGTGAACTTATACCTATATTTGACTTGAACTGTATAGGAGCAAAACAGAATTAAATGGGCAAAATAAAAATAAACCGTATTGGTAATTCTTCTTTCTGCTGTAGACACAAAGAAGTGAAGTACAACATTTCTTGCAAACAAGTTTGCTGCTGTGATAGTGCTTTTGTTGATTTAAAGGAGAGTGTATATTCTGGAGGGGAAAAAAAAAAAGAGATGAGGAGTACTTGCTAGTCTGCTTAAAATAATGCATCAAGTACTTTCCAGGGATACTGTGAATGGCAGTGGTCTTTGTAGTTTAGCATAACCTGTGATGGAATTGTACTTGTTAGCCTGGTTACTTTTCAGTCTTTATTGGTAACAGGCATGTAGTCCAGAAAATGAACTTGTGGGCTGAAGCCAAAAGCTCTTATGGTTGAGTTCATCTTTTCTGTCATCTTTATCTTCTTACCTTCTACAACATCTTTCTACATTTGTCTTACATCCAAGTGTCTGCCTTCAAGCCAGATACCCAAGTTCCAGTTGTAGTCAGCAGAGATGTGATTGATGTGGACAGTAGAGGCTGGAGGGGGTTGCAGCTGACCCAGCACTAAGTGTCTACCTGAGTGTGAACTGGGTCACTTGTCAGATGTCCCTGACTCTGGACCACATCTCCATGGGCTGTAATGAGAGCTTGCAGCACAGTCATGTGCATAAAGACACTAGATTTACTGATGTTGAACATAATTTCACCATTACTAGTGAAACTGTAATCCACATGCTGTTCCTTCCAGTTTACTGTAGGCCAAAGTGTACACCAGAGTGGCAGTGATCAAAGTTCTGAGCTGACTGTGGAAACGGTGTAATTACACTTTGTTGTTCTCATTCTCAAAACATTTAGTAGAGCTTGAGCACACCATTGCTCAGATGGGACTGTACTGCTTTCAGATGTGGCTCTGATGGTTTGGTGGTAGCTCAAAGATTTCTGTTAGGTCTAAACACATCCAGAGATTCCCACATCCTATCCCTGGAGAAGTTCAAGGCCAGGTTGGATGGAGCAACCTGATCTAATTGAAGGTGTCTGCTCAGGGCAGGGATGATGGAGGTAGATGATTTTCAAGGTCCCTTCCAACCCAAAGCATTTCATGATTTATGAGCTCTGTGCTCTGGACAGAACTGTTCTGAAGCCTGGATCAAGCTCTCTGATTGTGTGTTTGAGATGGCAGATTTCAACCACCCTTTCATGCACCAGTTTGGGAGCTTTATGAATGCATATCACATTAAATCTCTGGCATACACTGCATGTGCTCCCTTGACACGAGACAGAGATTACTTCCAAAACAGGCAGAGAAAGAAAACTTCCTCGAGTTCTGGGAGAAGAGAGTAAGCTCAAAAAAGCCCCTAAAGTTCCCTAACTAGCTGGTGAGCTCCAGTATGAGCAAGTTCTTCTTTCTAAAGATGTTAGCATGGATTCGTATAGTGGTTAGCCCCAAAAGAGCTTTAATGTGTGTTTACCTAGATATTTCTCCTAGCATGCAGTGCTTGTCTGAGGTGCCCAAGCTGAGAAAATCTGCTCAAAATTTGAAGGAAGCTCTCAATGCACTGGCAGTGGAGAAAGTTGGGGACAGCTCATGCTGGAGATGCAATTGCTTGTGCAGAGCTGTGTGGTCCTGGCTGCAGTACTAACAGATCCCAGCTGCCTCCTTTGCCTTTCTGCCAGCACCTAAAAGGGATTGTTAAAATCCTGTTTCACAGCCTCGCTGTGCCAGGAAGGACTCTTCCTCTTTTAGTCTCTAGATTTTTGCTCCTCAGCCAAATATTTAATGGTACTGGAATAGACACTTCAGGAGGAAAAAAAAATAGAATACCAGGGTCTGCTGTGATAACAATGACAGATTTATCAGCTGGAATTAATGTAAGGGCTGACTGAGCTCCTCCTGGACTCCATCCTTCCACCAGGCAGGACCCATGCTGTCACATGTCTGCTTACAGAAGGAAAACCCATTATGTTTAGAGTCAGTTGGGGATTTCTGCCAGCACCAGGCAGGCCTACAGATTAAATGCTAGAAAAAGGTATGAGGGATTTATCAGACTATTTGTTCCTGTTTAGTCTTCTTCCTTTATGACCCTTGTGTGTCACTTTAGTCTTGGGGTCAGGATTTTGGGACACTGGTAGATTTTTTTTTCCCCCTGAGTGCATGTTGAGGACTGGAAATAATTGTGTGCTTTGAAACCATTTTAACCATTACCTAAAAAGAAAATCAATTTGATGGACTGAACCATGTGGCAAAATACTGCCTTGTTAATGAAGGAGAACTTGATGGCTTTTGGATTTGTGTTTCTGTGCCAACTTAATATGTTACAAAGATGCCAAGTACACTCAAGACATGAACAAAACTAAGTGCCCATTGTACAACATTATTTTTTATTGTGAGAGGGTTTTTTTGTTTGCTCTTGGTTTTATTTTTTGTTTGGTGATTGTTGTTGGTTTTGTTGTTTGGGTTTTTTTTTCCTCCAGCTCAGATACTTCTAGGTAAATTCAACCCCTGATGTGTTTTTTGAGATCTGATTTAAAAATTGAATTTCTAAATTGGAGTAGTTGACTTTATGCATTCCCCATTGCTTCCCTACCCCAGGGAGGAGGTTTATAATTTTGAAATTCACATCAGGCAAAAACTCTTAGATGCTATGAAAATAGTATAATTTCTCATTACAAAACTGACTTGGATAGCCATGGCAGAATATTTCTTGGACAGTTTAAGATTCACTCAAGTGTACCAAATTCAGAACAAAGTGAACTCTGTTTGAGTCAGCATAATTATGTTTTGCCAGGTATGTTTACTTGGAGCAAATAATAATTCTCGATGGAAAAATCAAAGATAGGATCAGGTGTTAGTAGAAACCATGGAAGTGGTCTGCATAGCTAAAGAACTTATTTTAATATTCAGCTTTGTTATAATTTTCTTGTCCTTTGATTACTGCTGCTGTATCTTGCAATGAATATAATTGCTCTGTCCTTTCTTCTTTACTCTTCTCCCTGTAAAAAAAAAAATAAACTATGTTAGTAAAAAATACATGTGAAACACTTCAGCTGTATTTGTAGAACCTAATGCAGCAATAAAAGACAGGTGTTATCAAATACTGCATTTAAGGCTTAAATTCTTCTCTTTGCATTGAAAACTGTGCAATGGCTTGAGTGAAAAAACAAAATGCTTTGTTCTTGCATTGAAGATGTTCCAACTTAGAGTAGTTAACCTAGAGTCCTAAAATAAAATTCCCCTGGTATTTATAAGTGAAAGAAAATCCTGAATTTGTATCTAAATTGTTCTTTCTTCCCTTTTTTGTGACAGTCCAATGATGATAATTACACAGAAGATCACTAGTTTGGCATTTGAGATTCATGATGGTAAGATTTCTTTACTGTGTTTAATTTTCCATACAAAATAAATTTTACTGACGTTCATCATGAGTCAGTGAATTACTTTAGATCAGTTTTATGTTTCAACGCAAAAATAAATTTCTGTGTCTCAGTTGTTTCATTGATGCTTATTAATGAAAGTACTGGGAAATGTTGTTCCAACTCTACAGAAGCTCTAAAAATGCTGACACTGTGCAGAAGATGTGACTTATCAGACCAGTGACACTTCTGGAGTCAACGTCTAAAGAGCAATGATATTCTTTTGGGCTGGGGTATTGACTGTGAGAGTTAACTAAAGAACTTCCAGATTCAGAGACCTCTGTCACTGGCAGATGGATAGAAAAAGGACATGTAATTGCAATTGTTGAGCACCTTTTGTTTTAAAATGCTAATTCTTGAGCACTTCCCTAGTTTGTGCCATATATGCTGATTTTTATAAAACCTTTGTGTGTTTCATTTTGTTTAGTATCATAATTACACTCGCAGCTAACAGATTGCTGTGAACAGGGAGATTATCGAATTATGTTTATGTCTGTTCTTCTGTCAGATGTATCCATCAGATAAGTGGGCCCTGTGACAATGAATCCTAATGTTGGCTTTCATGGGTAGAATTGCTAGGTTTTTAGTTACCTCAAAATTTAAAGGAGTAATTTTCATTTTAAAGTTTGAAAATGTCATCCCATAAATCTGTCCAATTAGCTTGAATCACTTAGAGCTGCAGATGTCAGTTGAAGATTTGGGAGTGTAGCTCCAGACACCTGGATAAAGACACCTGCTGTTCTGATATTGCTTATTAACACTGTGCATGACATTTAATGTGTTTGTCTCATATGTATCCTGGCTTTATTGCTCTTGGTGTTTAATGTTTTTTCCATTGTTAAGTGGCACTGTCTAGAGAAGCTTGTAGGCAAAAATTTTCAGGAATATGAAAAGTTGGGAAAAGACCTTTTAAAAATATTTTTGTATGAATGAAAATAAATAATGCTGGGCTTATCTAGTTGGTCAAAGACATTGATGTTTACCTTCCAGAGAAAATATATTTGGAAGTAGTAATTTTGCAATCTATAATCAACTAAAGTACAGAGTACACAGGTTAGTGGAAACAGGTTATTATAAGGAAGTAATAGTTCTGGTATCAGGCATGAATGCTTCCTCTTACTATTATTTTGCTAGGGGAAAGAGCTATTCTGAATTTGCTGACATCATGCACAAATAGTGGAGTGGTGGTATGGAACAAGCATGTGAGTGTTCCTGGCAATCTTGAGACAAATGTTGCATTTAGTCAGCTCTATTCTTAACTTTCATCATGAACTAGACTAGATTTTTTCCTACTTAAATTAATTCAGATAATTTGTATTTTCTTCTGGATTTCTTTATACACTGAATTTTTAGTGTAAGTCTTGACATTTGGATCCTCGTTGACCTCTAAATTCTTTGTCAGCCCTTGAATAGTAACTAACAGTATATTGGAAAAATTTCTCTGGTTGTGTCAGCAGCTTAGCAGATTTCTTGAGTTGGATGGTCACAGTTGCAGTTGTGAACATGACTTTCAAAAGTTGATGTGGCCAGTGTGAGCTCAGAAGCAGCTGATAGTCTGGTGTCATGAGATAAGCAAAGATGTGCAGGGGAGACTGAGATTGCATTAGAGCAAAATTTTTTCATCTTAGACAACCTAAAAGGGATCCTTCATGAAAAATTAATGAAAACAAGCCCTGCTGTCAGTGGGCTTTTGTTCACTCTACAAAGGTACATGCTTCCACTGGAAATTACTTAGAGATATAGGGACGGGAGAGGAGATAGTGTTGCAAAAAGTTGTAAGTGATTCATGGCCTCTCTGAGCCTCTAGTCAGATCAGCTTGGCTGTATTAAACAACAGTTTATTTTCTTCCCTCATTTTTTACCAGTACATCCAAGGAGTGTAATGAAAATAAACAGCTGGAAAAAAAATGTTGCTGTGTTGGAAGTTTCTGTTAAACTTCAAGATTCCAGTGGTAGCTAGGTTGGTTTTTGGTAAAGGCCAGTCTTCTGGACTTGATCTTTCCATGGCAGCCAGTTTGTTGTCTTCAGCTGGTTTCATTTGAAAGTCCTGGAGTGAACTGAGTGTAGCCACAAAGGCCACTCACTCTTGCTGCATATTCAAGTGTCTGTCTAGCTAAGTGGATATGCTTGATTCCAAGCTGAAAACTAGTATGGAATCCCATATACAAACAACAGCTACCCCTGTAACTGTTAGACCCTTGTGCTCTTACCATGAGGGATTTTTTAAGCAGGGAAATTAAATGCAAGTTGCATACAACTTGGACTTGATGATTCTTGGGGGTCCCTTCCAATTCAGCCTATTCTGTGATACTGTACTTTAAGCTTGCTGTATAATACAAACATTCCAGAAGTTTGCATGGATCACAAACTTACACCTGAAGAGATTTGGAGTATGCCTTTCATGTATTCTGATCTACATTTTGAACTTCAGTCTTTGATAGCTCTTACCTTGCAGTTCCTTGTTACTGAAATGGGCAATGCCAAAAATGAGTAGTCAGTGTGTTAAAATTTGCTTTGTATTTTTTGCTGATTACCCCTGGCATCTCACATGTGTATTCTAAAGGGAGAAATGTTTTTATGTAATTTGAAAACTGCTGATGTCCATATTAATTCTTTATGTGAAGATTTAGATTTATTTAAGCAACACTTCAGGCAAATAACAGAGTTAAGGGAGAAAAAGGAATTTTATTTTTATTAGAACAAAAAATTTGCAGCTGTTTAACAAAAAGCATTGCTTTCTAATATTTCTGTTAATTACATCAGTGAAACTGTCATGGTGTGGTGCTGTTTTGGGGATTTTATTTGGTAACTTGTTGCTTTCTTATTATGGTTAGGATTTCCTTTTAATGCTCTGTCTCCATCTACCTCTTGATTTTTATTTATTTTTTTAGTGTACTCTCTGTTATGATGGTGACAGCATGGTGATTATTGTTTCAGTATCAGTTACCAAATTATTTTTTTTTATCATATATGTCCCTAGTGGTTAAAGGAATTATATTGTATTTTTTCCCTTCTAAGTTTTCAAGTATAGTTTTGTGCCTCTCTTTTGCTTGTATGGCTCTCTGGATATGAAGACTTGTACATTTTCTTGCTTTTTTTGTAGGTTTTTTCCAATTTTACTCAGTGGGCATTCTACCTATTTGCCTTTGTTGCTGCCAGTGTGGTAATAACAGCTAAAACTCTTATTGACTGTCTTGGATCTTAAAATATTTTAATAACAACAGCATTTAGACTCAGTTGGTGATTCAATTGAGGACTACAAAAATTTACTGTAATTGCAACAGAACCTGTGATAGGATCTATGGTTGTTATTAATGCATAATCCTGTCTAGGCATTTTTAGTTACTGATTAGCCAGATTTCCATACTAATATAAAAGTGGATAAGTTTAACCACAAAGATGGGGTGATAATATTTGTAAACACTGGTGTAGTGAGAGCTCAGAAGCAGTCATAATATCCCATAATAAAGTCTGTGTGGCAAGATAGTGGTGTGTGCCTAAGAGTGTTGGGTTTGTTACCATTAGGATATGGGCTCTTGAGAAGGAATGTAAAGACAGAACTTCCTCATGATGTAGGCCACTTGGGAAAGTTTTTTTTACTGATGATTTACATAATTCTATTACCAAGGAAGGAACATAGGAGTCTCTCTTCTTTACAGATGCGAAAATGGAGTTGCAGTTGCTGAGTGACCGAATTGTTTCACCTCTCTAACAGATGTTCAATAAAACCCATTTTCTCTAATCTCTGCTGTGTGATTTGGTAGTAAGAAGGAGCTGTAGTTGTTGTGGTAGTCTCTTCCTTTAGGACAGAAGAAAGCAATTCCTAAAATCCTCAAAGGAATGCTACAAAACCTTATGAGTTCCCTAGCAGCAGTGTGCTACTGAAGTGGGAGTTCTTAATCTCCAGTGTGTAGTAGGTAGGGAACAGCTATGGTTTATCAGGTCTCTGTTCCCTTGGGCCTGGGAAGTAGTGAATGTGTATTTATTAATTCATCTCATATTGAATAAACAGCAATGTAAGAGCACCTCTTCCATATTTATTTTCTATGATTTAAAAAATCTTAATGGTAGCTTCCTGAAAGCTTTCAAGAGTATGACAGAGGTCATCATGTTCTTGCATGCTGTGCTAAGATGATAAATGGGCCTTGAAGACACTGAGAAGGCATTTTAAAAAAAGCCCCAACAAACAGGGAAAGCCACTAACCTGACCTCAAAGAATCTGCTGGCTGGAGGGAAACTTTCGTGAGGTAGGGAAATGAAAAATTAATGGAGGCTTGCTTGGATGCAGTATGTTTTAGACAGCAAATGCATTGCTCATAAGGTAATTTGGGCTTTAAATGACTTCATATGTATATATGTAACAATTACACACATAACATAACTAAAATCTGTTTTAAACCTGTTTCCTCCTACCTCTCCAAAGCCACAGATCATATTCCATTGATTAGATTCTTCTATTTCAGGTTTGAGGGTCTTTCCTCCTTTTTCATCACACGTTTGTAATATGAAATATTTCATTTGACTAATTACCTTTATTTAATGACTAATCTGGCTTTATGCAAGTTCACTTGGACACACTGGGTGATCACTTCCTCTTTCTGACTTCAGGGTAAAATACTTATATGGAATATAATGGCAAAGGAGGCTCCTGCTCCAGTCAGTTTACATTGTGTGGGGTGTGAGAGACTGAAGGCTCTGAATGACACACTTCACTATGTGATGGGATCTACATCCATCTATAGGTGTCTGTGTTAAATTTATTTGTATTAAATTCAGAGATTCACTACCTGAGAACTGTAATATTATGGCCTTAAAGGTTACAGAATCTTTCAAAATGCTTCTTCCACATTTTTTATTCAGTACCTTTATCAGCGTAAAAGCCGTTGCTACAGATCCAAGGAGAATATGTGAAACTGTAATGATGAGGAAGAGAAGGTGATGCCTTGTGAAGGCTGACCTAGAACAGAGACTAGAAGGTGTGAAGATGCCTTGTGAAGGCTGACGTAGAGCTAAAGAATAAAGTAGGGATTTATTAGGAGGTCTCAATAGATCCACCTTGGGCAGCACAAGAGCCCAGCCAGGGCTACACTGCAGATGAACCCAAAATGGTCACAAGAATGGATGACCGGGCACGGGGTCTCTCACTTTTATAAGTTCTGGCCCATTAGCATATTGGAGCTAATTGTCCAATTACAGCTTCAGCCCATGAAGTCCCATCCTTCCTGTTTTTCTCTCTTCAGTCCATGTTGTTTGTGCTCTTGGGCCTGAGATCTGGATTGGCTGTCCTTGGTCCCCAGCTAGAGAAGGAATTGTTTTGTCTCCCTACTCTGTGAAGAGAGCGCACCATCCCCTAATTTGAAGCCCAGACCCACTAAAGCAGCACAGAATCTGAAAAAGAGAAAAGCTAAAACCTGAGGCATCAAAGGTGCTGCATGAAGTTAGGGGGTGATAATTTGTTTTTCAGTTTCTTGCCTTGAATGAGTATGAATGCGGGTAACTTTTGACTGTGAAGGATCAGATCCAAGGAAAGCATTTTCCCAGGCTATATTGAAGGAGAGGAGGTGGCAAGTTGGTAGCTCCCTTTGTATTCTCAGCTTTGTTGAAGACTTTAAGTGTGGTTTTGAAGTCATAAGTGTGTGTAGATCGTGGCCACACTGGATTAGTGTGGAGTGGAGTGGAGTCACACACTAAGACAACAGAATTTCCTTCTTTGTAGATAACAAGTGTTTCCATGAGTCATAGAATTAAATTAGCTTTTACTTCCCCTCAGCTCCTCAATCTTTTTTTGTCATAAGGCTGACTGATTTTGATATCTTAAAAAGAATTGGCTCCAGTTGAAACTTACCCTGGATCAAGAATAAGGGCTCCCCTCTGTGGATTTACTGGCATCAAGGAGTGGGGTTGAAGGCAACCTTTCTATGACAGGAGGATGATCTTCTGTAGAAACACCTATTTTCATAAAGCACACTAGGATTTCATATTGAGATTGCCCTGCCCTTTTGTCAAACTTGATTTGAAATTGGCTGCTGGGTTTCAGCACTGCTGTGGAGAAAGATAATTGAAGTGTGATCCCATAAATTTGATGTCCTTTAGGAAGCTATGTGGATAAAGATTTTAGTACTTGTAATGGCAAAGAAAAAATGCAAATATGAAGAGCAGGAAATGGCTGCATGTGGACATGTCTGAGCCACTACAGAAGGCTGCAGGAGCAGCTGAAGTGGTCATTCTGGCAGGCAGTGCTGTCTGAAGGAGGGAGCTCTTACTGTTTTTGTTCCCCTGAATTAGTGTATTTCATAATAAATGATGATGTTGAAAGTCTTATTTTTTACTTTTCTCTTTCGTGAGAGTACAGATTTTGAAGACTATTTTTCAGGGATAGGTTGCCAGCATTTCAGAAATAGCCACATATGGCAAGAAGTAAACTCAGTCTTGTTGCTGAACTTGGACTGCCCCCTTCTGCTAGTAGGGGTTAGAGCTTCTTGTTAGTGCTCAGGAAGAAGGCTGTGGCACCCTTTACTGCCGTGCCTGCTTCACTGGAGCTTGGTCATGACCTTTATTTGCAGTGCAAAGCTGTTCTTGAGGTCTGTTCTAAGTTTCCAGTTGCTGAAATCTCTCTTAGACTGTGTCCATTTCATGCATTGAAACTGCAGTGACTATGGCTATGACAATGGCTGTGTTTTGGGGCTTGTCCTGTTTCCAGAATTGGAAATAAAGGGTTTAAAACCTGCAGACTTTGAAGTCTCAACTAATGTAGAAGAATAGTTTTTGTTAACACTTTTTTCAAGTTGTCAATGCTTTCCTGAAATCCACATGATTTCACTGCTGGATAGAACTGAAGATATGAGAGTTTGTGATTTTGTCAGTAAGAATTGTTTGATCCAACTCCAGCAAAAATGTTATGTGACATAATAGCCCTGAAATTGCTTGAGGCATTAAGAAATTACATTGCAGCATGAGACTTGTTCTACTGAGTAAAATATGGGAGGATTTAGCTTTTCTTAATTTTTTTCTTGTCCTCTTCCCTAGGAATGTTTCGGAAAAATGAAGACTTGACTCCATCCCAGAGGTGTTTAGCTGTAAGGTAGGCTTTCAGACATTCTGCTTTGGGGATGTTTTGTGTATTTTCTTAATGCTCTCTGCAGTTTCTGCAGCTCAGGTTCAAGACAGAGTTTAAAACAGATCCATGTTTTTATATATTTTTAGTTTAATTTGTGTATCTGTTCTTCTGAAAAATATCACTAGGAGGAGATTTTATAGTTATTTAGAAAGAACATTCTAAGTTCTATGCAGTCTATGCAAATGAATGCCATATCAGATAGAAGACTAGTAAACAGTGCACATATGAAGTAGCTGGTGAAGAAACGTTGTTAAATTTTGTTTTTCAGTATTTAACTTGCCTTTTCTCAGTACTTTATTCAGGACACTTGAAAATAGTATGTTGCTTTGGACAAGAGAGTGTTGAGACATTTGTTTTAATTGAAATGATTGCCAGTTAGCCCAAACCTTTGTTTATTCATTCAGTTGTTGAGGGGAAAAATAGTTTATACAGTTGAACAAACACTTAGGAAAACAGCCCTCCCTTTCCTTCCTCAGGCTCAGCTTCAGTCAAGCACCTCTGCTGGGCAAGGAGAGACTCAGTAGAGTTTAGGAGGTCTGTCTCAAAATGCCCAGTATGGATTGGAAAGAAATGCTATGTGTAGAATGTTTCAAGCTGTGATTACAAAAGACAGACAAACTGCTCTTGTCCATGTGGTTTTTACTGCAGTTAGAGTGAGTGGTAGCATGGAGTGTGACTTTTCCTACTGTGGAAATCCTGAAGAACTACACAATCCATCTCACCAGTTGCTTGTCTTTGAATTACAGACGCATGCCAAGTCTACTGGAGTATTTAAGTTACAACTGTAATTTCATGGGTATCCTGGCAGGCCCGTTATGCTCTTACAAAGACTATATTACTTTCATTGAAGGCAGATCATACCAACTGCAACAGTCTGAAGCAAATGGGAAGGAAGATACAAAGTACGAACAAACGGATCCTTCCCCAAATGTAAGATGTGTGACTCTTGCAGTGCTGATGCTTATGGAATCATTGCATGGAAAGCTTGGTTTGCACTCTTCATTTACAGGCATAACTGCTGAGCTGAGTCTGGAGTTCATTCATCAACGGAATAGTTCCCTGTTCAAAAAGTTATATGCTTATTTTTTAAAGGCAGGTTTTCTCCATGGTTTCCAGTCTGGATCTTGTGGATAAAAGCAGAGTAATTTGGAGCTTCCTAACAAGCTTATATGGTAAAAAGCCATCTTTAAATGAAAACTGTTCATGCATGTTCACTTCAAAGCATATACTGTGCATAAAAACCCAGTCATATGTAACAAATTGAAAAAGTCAGAAGTAGTTTCATTTTTCATGCTTGTAGTCATGTAGAGAGGTATTAAAGAAGGATTTTGATCTGAAGGTGTAGTAAAAGATGTACTACCCATAACACTGTGAACAATACCTAAGACACAAAATCTTTTTTTCCTTTGGTCTGTTACTAGAGAAGAGACCAAATACATAGAGAAGATAATCCAGTTGATCATGCCTTACAGGAGAGATTGTATGACCTGAATTTAAATCAGAAGCTCACAAAACTTGTTACTTTTAAAATTTAGTCCAATTAGGTTAATGCCCAGTGTATTGAATATTATCTTTTCACTCTTTTCATATTGTCTTAAGTAGTAATGTATCAGGCATTTAAATTTACACGTGCCTAAGATAATTCTTACCTCCCGTAAGAGGCAGATTTATCATGGGGTCACATGGAAGGCTTTTGCTAATTCCAGCACCAGTTGCCCATGTTCTGCTTGTCTTGTGAGACCAGCTGTTGCTGGGGCAGATGGAGGTGTTTTCCCACATGGAGCTGCTGGTCTTGTCCTACCATCTAGAGGTCACGGCCCCACAGCTGGGCCAATGGAGAGTGCTTCCCAATCACTTGGGGCATCTCCAACCACTTCCATCCTCAGAAATGTGGGTGAGGACTCTTTGCATGTTCCATTCTACCCATCTTGTGTGATTGTAGTAACTTGCACGACTGGAATCTAAACTTATGGCTGGAGGATGATAACACTTGAAGGTGCTCCATGAATTGACAGAGCACATGAGCTCGCACAAGTGAGCTGTGGAACACCTTAGGAAGGGTGAGACACTGAGAATTCCTTGTGTAGATCAGCATCACATGGCCCATGCTCTGCTTTGATGTGTTGTATCAACAAAGTTGCAGGTACTTTTGTTTCTAAATGTTGTTTTGGCCCAGTAAAGTCTTGTGTACTAAAATCCTATTTCTGCAGAAAAGTGTTATGTAGTAAAATTATTGCATAAATGGAGGTAAACCAAACCTGCCTGTATCAGTACCTCTGGACACACATCCACTGATTGCCTGATAGGACTTCCTGGCTTTTTACCACATAATCTTGCTAGTAATATGGACAAGGTCAATAGAAATAAATATAAACCTATGATGGCTTCTTCTTTCAGGTAAGTGCTTTTCCTTAAAATTATTTGCTCTTAAGATGCTTGAAACTTTTGCAATTTATGCTGCATTAGCTTTTGACATAAAAACAAAGAGAAGCTGTTTATGCTCCTGGTATTTCATCTCCCAACTGGTGTTAGAGAAATCTGGCTGCATATTATAACACCAGTGAGTATTGTGTGCTTTTGGAGAAAGATGAATGACACAATTTCACTGCATTTGCTGTATCAATTAAAGTATTCATTGTCTTGTTCTAGAAGAGCGTTTAAATACCGTTAACTTTATATTAATACTTTAAATTTGTTATTATTTCAAGAAGAATAAATTTTTAGGTAACTCAAAAAATTTTGAAATATAGTGGCGATCAGCAAATGTTAATGTCATAAATAAAAAGGAATCCTTGGGCTGAGTTACAGTAAGTTTCATTTATTGTTAAATACAGTTATATAACTGAAGTAGTTCATGCTGGCCTCCTCCTCTATAATGTGTGTTGACTGCATGATGTTAACTTGGATTAGTACTTTTGCTGTGTTCATTGCATGTTAAATGAAACAAGTCACCATATTAAAACTTACTTCTCATATCCCTCCTATTGTGCCTTTTTGCAAGCTATCAGTTGTTGGTGCTCAAAGTGGTGTCAACTCTCAGAAATTAATATCTGTCTTTGTAAGTTTCTTTTTATTATGGCTACCCTTAAAATACAAGATTCCTGTCAGCAGATATCTGCTTTCTTGCTTATTATGCAGAATCTTCCTACAGGTTATAATGTTCTTGCTTAAATATCTATAGTTTTTGTCAGAGGTACCAACCTCTCCAGAATAATGTGCTTTAATACCTCTAAATATTATGTATTAAGTACTGATTCTTTATCAAATTAAGAACAAGTTCATTCAAATAAAATTTTTCAAGATTCCTCTCTACTTTTAAAAATCTATTTGTGTATGCTATACATGCTTATGCAGTAATTTATTTCTAAACTTTCTGGGGTCTATGAGTGTTTTACTTTTATTTCTTCAATTAGAAAGCTGCTCCTGAACTGCTTTCTCCAATTGGGTATCTAGCTTTCAACCTAATTATATTCCCATCTAATTAATGCACATCTAGTTTTGTCCTGGCACTGTCTTCTAGCTTAAGTACCTCCTTCCCTTCCCAGGGTTGATCATCTTTCATATTTTTATACAAGAATGCTCAGTTGTTCATCAAAACTGAATGAGACAGGTCTTTTTACCTTTTTGTTGTAAAATAATCTGTATTTTGTGCTTCTTCTGAGGTCAAAGTTATCCTGCATTTTACTGTCTTTTAATTCCTCAACAGAACCATTATTTTGCTATGTTGAAAACTTAAAAAAGTAAAATAAATCAAACTACAAATTACTTCATCCTTGTAAAAATTGATGAACCCTCATATGTGACTGTGCAATTCAGTGATTTCCCATTTATACCTTGGCAAAGAAAGGTTAATTAAGTAATAGGAAGTGAATGAATGTTTTACCAAATGCATTTCAATAGGTAATGGAAAAAATGAACAATGATTTTTTTGGTATCATTGCACAGTGTTGTAGTTTGAGACAGATAATTTGATTTGTCTGAAACTAACTTGGCGTGAAAAAACAAACAAAAACCCACCAAAACCTACTAGACATACCACCACACGTTCCCACCAAAAAAATTTCCAACAAACCCCCTCCTGCAAAATGCCAAAAATCAAGGTTTTCATCTGATTTGTTTCTCTAATCTGACTCAGCCTAAGGAGCACGAGCCAAACCTGCAGGGAGGGAGTGGAGGCAGGGCAGGACTCCTTTGCACTGCAGCCTGTGTTTGGCTTGGCCTCAGAAACTCTGCTTAAACCAGTCTGGAAACAGCAGCTCCCCAGAGGTGGGAGATTTATTTCCACCATGGTTTTCTAAGGATCCTGTAATCCCTGATTCTGATCCCTGTAAGTGGTATCAGCGTGCTGGGATTTATAATTTTGAGTGAAGTAGTCTAATTAAAAAAAAAAAATTTAATTCATGACAGAGTACTGTATGAGTTCATTATTTGTTCTTAAAATAAATTTTGTTGAAAACCTAATGCTCCTTCATAAAAGAGGTGTTTTCACCTCCACAATTTAGTTAACAACCTTCAGAGAAATGCAAAGCATATTTGGTGTTGAATAGGCAGGTGAATGACATCTGTTTACTAATAGAAAAATTGGCAAATAGAGGCAGTGGCACAAGGCAGGTCTTTGAACAGAGATAACAATGTAAGTGGCCAAAACATGTTTTGAGACTTTGTGGTCATCTTCAGATGGAAAGAACCTATTTTCTATATTCATACTTAGTTTTAACTTGCATGTTACTGCTACCAGCTTATTGTTTCTCCTGCAGAATTGAACATGACTTGTAATTATGGCCTAGGCCTTAAAGTTAAATCCTTGCAAATGTCTTCAAACTTGGGGTGATGCCTTCTGATACTTACAGATATCAGACTTTTGTATTTGTCACCAGAATTACCAGAACTAAAGATTCATTAGTATTAGTAGTAACTGATTTTATGAACATACATTTCTATTGAAGATCCTGAAGGCGTTAAGCCAACTGAACTTTCCCTCTGCTGTAGTAAAGAGAGGGATTATGAATAGTTCTGAAATAACAAAAGAATGCTTTTAGAAAATTAATGCTCTTCACATTGAACTCTTGTAATAGAATAAAGTATTAAAATGAGGTTCATTAGAAAGCAAACAAATAATTAAGCACCAACCTTAACCATTAATAGGTAGTTGCTTCCTGAATTATCTGGCTGATGTTTTTTATTAAATCATTGGGATTCCTGATTCTCTCTGAAATATCTTCTGAGATGAGCCAAGTGAAATATATGCAATATCCAAAAATACCCTCACTGTTTTAGAGCTTTTCCAAGTCTCACTCTTTAATCAGATTGTACCACTTCTTACATCTGTGCAACTGAGTGAATCTTTGATATGTTGTGTCTTGCCAAAGTGTGTGCTTTCAGTTGGACATTTACTGCCCCATTCTGTATCGTGGAAAAAAATTGCCCTTTATTTTGGAACTAGATGTTGAGCTGAACTCTCAGTGAAGCAGGATGTTATCTTTAAAAGTTTGGGTGGGTGTACTGGAAGCAGCACAGACAGATTCTGGTTATATTTTTGTTCTGATGCTTCAAACAAAAGTAGGTTGATTGTTTTCTTGTCAAGTTTAGTATCTGTATAATTGTAATGTAAATTAATACAGTAATGTTTAAATGTTGAGATTGCATAAAACAAAAGCTTGAAAATTACATTTCAATGAATTAGCTCTCGAGCTTCTCTGGTTGGTGCCTGCTTTAGTATGTTACTGGGTTCTTTCACAAAATACGGTGTCTGCCTTTGGGATGTGGATCAGACTAGAGACTTAAAGCAGTCAGTGTCAGGCATATATTGCTTATATTGCTCTGTATGTTTTATAGTAGAAAAGTTCTACTGAAGATACATAATCTTTACTTGTGGTGGTTATAGCAAAGCTGAGTTTTGAGAAAATTTGAGTAGGTCCTATCTGAGCAACACAGTTGTACATATCTGTGAGCATATTATTTGTACCATTGGAGCTTGATCACTCTGATTGGGAAAACAGGTCCATCTAGAACTGATTGGCTGAAATTTGGGCTGAAATTCATAAATCATTTCAGTATTTTAGTTGGTTTAGAATTTAGATGCTTTGATAATATAACAGAAATGATTGATGTATTGAGTTGGGCAGAAATTGAACACCTGCAGTATGCTGAAGGGTCCTGAAAAGAAACTGAAGTTTTGCCATTGTTCTGGAATCTCTGCAGTAATAATCTTACTTTGTCCTAGATTATATGTTTTGTGTTATGATGTCTTAACAATTTAATTGCTTCAGTAATTTGACAGGAAAATAAGAAAAGAAAATGGACTTGCAAAAGGTGCTCTGGTTATTAAAAGGACTTTTAGGGAGTCACTGTAGTCAGACTGGTTTTATTGTGTTGGCCATGGGAAGTGAGGCTCACAACTTGATCAATAAAACATTCCTTGAGTCTCTATAAAACAGAGATTTTTTATAAACTATTTTAAAGTTGCTTGTATATTTATTACTGAAAAATTAACATATCTGTGTGTCTGTATAGGGAAGGAAGATTATAACTTTCCTTTGTTTCCAAGAGATAAACAAAAAAATGAAGCTTACAGAATCTCCCTTAAATTTTCAGATAGCTGTGGCACAGAAGCTCTTGATCTGTGGACTGTCCTTGCTCTTCCACATGACTATTACAAAAACTTTGCCTGTGGAATACAACATTGATGATAACTTCAGAGCTACAGCATCATGGCCTGTAAGGTTTTTCTACCTGTATGTGTCTCTTATGGCTGCCAGACCCAAGTATTATTTTGCATGGACTTTAGGTAAGTATATATTTAAAAATATAATAATAACAGAAAGAGCATTGATAAGTATCAAAGAGTACTGAGATTCATCTGAGATGTGCACACTTCAGTGTGTATTAAAAAGTGGCAGTGCCCTCTTGAGGCCTTAGGAAAACTTGATTGCATTTAAGTCTTTCAAGGTATTAAGTACATTGAATATTGTCTCTTTTTGAGAAGTGATCACTCTGTTTTTGGAAGGTGATAGTGTTCCAATGAACAGTAACTTAAAAAAAAGGAAAGGTAGTAGTAAATCTACTCTGATGTACAATCCTTTTTGTTTATGATTTTTAAAAATATATTTTGATACCTTTATTCTTGGCATATCTTCAGAGTTAATTTTGACCTCTTTCTGTGGTTAGTTATCAGTAATTTGCTTGATGTTATTCAATCACAAAGGAAAATTAATACTTTGGAATTCAGGTACATGATACTGTTGTTAATAGTAGGTGGCATTTTCAGAATTTGATGGGTGACACTTCAGTTTTAGCCTTAGTTTACTATAAGTTTCACTGGTGTGATAATGTGCTTAGTAACTTATTTAAGACACTTGAATAGATTATACCATTTAAAGAATATTTTGCATTTCCCTTCATGTTACTTATAAAAAAACAATGTGTACAACAGGAAGATGCTTTATTTAAGTAAGCTGACATCTTGAAAGTGGCTCACACAACAGATTTCATCAGCTTCCTCCTCCTCTCCAGTTTTACATATTTGTCTGATAGTTCTTTTGAGAGAAAATCTGTGGGAACAATGCAATAAAGAAAGCTTTAGGGTAGCAGAGCAGCATGACTCATTTACAGCTGCTGGTTTCATTCCTGGTCAATGAATTAAATACTTGCAGCTTGTCTGAATATAGTAGTTCTGGGGCTTGTTGTGGAAATAAATACTTTTGAATATTATGCTCCTATACATCTGTATCATCATCTATAAATAGTAGTAGTCATCTGAAAAGTGAATAATTTCAGTTGGGCTTTTTTTTGCCTTTAATACTTCAGTTGGATTCCTCTGTGCACTTGCTAGCAGTGTAGAGCTAGCATTCCTCTGGTAAATACCAAAGAAAATAAACTGTGCCAGCTCTGTACTTCTAGTTTGTTACCCCTCCTCCTTCCACTTTGTCTCATCTAAACCTATAATGGTAGGAGTAGAATGTGAGGGGCTTTTACAGTTTTACTGGATGTTACACCTTTGAGTTGTACATTACTATTCTTTACACTTGGAAAAAAGTATTAATGAAATTAATTACTTTAAATGGATACTAAAATGCTAGTTAATAAAATGAGTACTTACTCTAGTTACAGTCTTTGCATTCTAGCTTGCAAAAGATTATGGAGTTTGTATCTCCAGCTGTTTCTAATTGAGCATGAAACTATTGCCCAGTATTTGAAGTTGGCCTAGCAATGTCAGATGTAAGGCAGCAAATTTTGTTAATTTCGAAGATATTTTAAAAAAATTCACAAGGAAGTAAAAATATTATAAATTCTAACACATGTAATTTCCTTGTGTGTGGTCATCCTAATTTGGAAAATCAGTTGAGGAAATGTTGGTGTCTGAGCTAACAAAGCTCAGGCAAAGGTGATGACTGAAAGTGCCAGGCAGTAGAGATCCCTTGTATTTTCCTGCATAGCCCAGATGACAGTAGAAGCTTTTTCTCTTAGGAAAAAATATTGTTTGCTTGGAACATCTGACCTTTGACATGCACTGTAAACACTTCACATTCAAAGGTGTTGTAACAGTGACCTTGTGCCATTAGTGGAAGTTTGATGAGCTCTGCATTCCTTAGAAAATTCCTGGTTTTGTCTGTTCGGTTTGCACTGCTCTCCGTGGGGTGCTGTGAATGTGCCCCTGCATGGAGGGAATCACACAATTTAATCTTTATGCTTTAAGCATCACTGTTGCTGTATAATGAAGACCAAAGACATGCATGTGAACATTGAGCTGCTGTTTCAAATCATTACAACCAGCTACTGTTTTGTAGTCTTGATACATCTCACTGGGTTTGTTTTTCTGTCTGATTGCTCAAGCAAGTCTAAGTAGGTGGTATGGGAGACAGGGAACATGTGTACTGTGAAGTAGCTAGTGCTACCTCTCATGCTTTTGTGCAAGTTTTTGAATTGGAAGCTAGTGTTGCTTGGATTGTTTTCTGTTTGTTCAATTGATCCTCACTATTTAAAAGAAAAAATAAATGTAGTCTTTAAAATGCGGTAAATATTCTGAACAAGCTATATGTTGTTGTACGATTTGTAATACAGACAGTTTATAATTAATTTGTTTTTTCTTGTCTCATTGCAGCAGATGCAATTAATAATGCAGCGGGGTTTGGCTTTAGAGGCTACGATAAAAATGGAGTTACACGTTGGGATCTCATATCAAATCTGAGAATCCAGCAAATAGAGGTTTGTTTCTGGTTCTTTCAAAAAAAAACCCCACATGTCTATGTAGGTAGTTACTCTTAATTTCAATAACTTTTCCTACATATTTGTTCCTTTAGATAGTGAATATGTTCTAAGTCAAAAATGATGTTTCCACTCCTTTAAAAAAGGATGGAAAATAGCCTGTTTCGAACGTGTTCTACTTGTCAATTGACTTCCAAAATATTCTGTGGTTATACATAGTTGAGTAAATAACTTATTCAACTCATCACAAATTTGGGTGGGGGGGATTTATAATTTATACACAAGAATTTTGAAACACATTGTGACACTCTGCAATTACAGAAATAATTAGTTTGTTTTACTTTACAGTTTTCCACAAGTTTCAAGATGTTTCTTGATAACTGGAATATCCAAACAGCTCTTTGGCTCAAAAGGTATTTATTTCTTAAAGGAGTTTTTTTTTTTCACTGAAGTTTCTGAGATCTGTATTTCTTTGAAGATGGTAATACATTTGGAGCTAACTCCCACAAAACATCACTTGTTTAGCAGCTGTGCAGGAGATTCTTCTTGTAATACTTGAAGTAAAGCTTCTGAGTTGAGGACTTTTCTCATAGTGTAAACTATCAATTGTCATAGATTCTGTTTTTCTTCACAAGCCATAGGGAACCTAAAACTGTTAATCTGTGGAGGTGTCTTTTCCCCCTCTCTTAGCATTCAGCCAGTGCACGTTGCTGAGAGCAGCAGGCAAAGTGTAAGCTCAGCCTGTGAAAGCTCTGCATTATTTTTAGCCATAGAGTGATACAGGAACTTTGTATGTTCTGTGAGGGGACTTTCTGTGCTCCTTCCATTATGAGTGTAGAAGTCAAACCCTACAATGTGCTGTCAGCAAAAATTCCAAATGAATCTCTCTCAGCTCTGCACTCTGTTTCCTTGCCTGGGGAGCAGGTACAGTGCCCTGTGAATTACATCACTCTGCTTCTTTGTGGTAAGGAGAAAGTAGAAGTGTTCTTGAGTAGCTCATGGGTGTTGTTTCCCTTCTTCCAGTCACACTGTTGAGTTCATCTCCTATCCACAGGCGCCACTTTAACTGAGACCCCTATCTTGGGATCACTTAGAGGATTTTACCTCTTATTCTAGGATAGCTGGCAATTGGATGTCTCTTCCACCAAATTTCTTCATAGTATGTTCTCTTTCTTCCATAATTTCATCCCTAAATATTTTGCTCATCCAGTTTAAAAAAGAAATTCAATTTTATGTGATTATTCTGGTTGGCTCAATGGTCAATGGAGTCTATTGCTAGGACAGTCAAAAAAAATTGCATGTTTGCAGGTATTGAAATGTAGCATTTCAAAAACTAAATAAGTAATTTAGCTTTTTTTAATTTAATTAGAGAACAGAACTTTAACGGTATTAAAACATAATAGGAAGAGGTTATATTTCAACAAACTTTAAAATCTCCTAAATGGAGTGATTCTAAACAAAAATTATCAGTGAAGAAACATAATATTTCTGTTATAAATTGAAAGAAAAAAAATGCAAGTCAGGTGATTATCAAAGAAGGGCGATTATAAAAGATGATGTGAAGAAAAATTAAAGCATCTCTTTTAATAAGTATTTTTTAAAACAATAATAAAAGAATTCTTGGGGAGGGTCTAAATTGATTCTGTCAGAGTGAAAGGGTGTGAAAAGGTGGATGTTCTGTGGGAGTTTTGTTGCAAGTAAAGTAAGTCCATAAATAGTGGTAGAGAGTGTATACTTTGTTATTAATTGTTTGGTTAGTTGCAGTGCTCCAACAATTTGCATAGACGACAAACTCGTGGATTACTTTAAACATCCACTTTTAATTACTCACTTTTTTTGACATTTATAGAAGTACCTAAAACTTCAGCCATTTATCTCACATGAAATACCAGACATTAGCATTTGTTCTGTTCTTTTCTGATAATTGTAGAAACAGAACCATCAGTTAAAGCCTGATTGTGTGTAAAAACAAACTTGTAAAATATACAGTTAATGGAGCTACAGATCACAAAGAGGTTTAGTAAATATATAATGTGTATCATAGTTTACAGCAATTTAAAGGCATTATTGTTACAAGCATGCAAGTTAAAACAGATATTTACATAGTATCATATATAGCATCGTTACATATGTAACAACATATATCATTATCATATATATGTTTCCTGGCTGGGGAAGCTGTTATGTTTCCCTCAGTCTAATTTTTCTCTTTTTCAAAGAAACTATCTCATCCCATTTGTCCTTGGTCGTGTTTGCAAAACCTCTGTGGTTCTTGTTGCTCAATTCTGACATCTTTCCAAACCTTCTGTCTTCTTAGAGTAGATGTAGTACTTCTGCTAAGACTTCAAGATTTTTCCCCTGGCTTTTTCAAGGCAGAGTTGATTAATTTGACTGGATTATTTATAATTATGTTCTTTGGGTAATACTGTGATGTATTAGAAAGGGTGTTATCTGTCTTTTTTGCAGCAGCAATCTACTGTTGATTCATGCTTAGCTGATACTCAGTGTTTCATACTGCTGATCCATATTCATACTCAGCTACACTTTTTGAGTAATGTTACAGGAATGGTACTGGTTTATGTCTTCCACTTTTCCTATTAGATGTGCTATGCCTTAGACTTCATCTTGTTGATTTCAGAGCATCCTTCAAGTCTGCCAAGATCATTTTGGATTCTAGTGCTCTCTATTAAGAAAACAATGCCAATCTCGTCCATCCCACCTTCCACCTCAAAAAAGGAAGGGAAGACAAGGTGGAAGAAATACTTCTCAATCTACCACCTAAGTTAGTAAAGAAATCATAGAAACAGACTGAAGACAGTACCTTGCTGATCAGTTGATGCATTTTTCCACTTCTAGAGCATTATGGATAACCTGAACCACCTATATTTGAATAGATTTTCTCATCCTGCTGTGATGACCATATTTCCTTCATTTGTTTCTAGGATCATCAAATGAAATATTTGAACAAGATTTATTATTGCCAAATCCATGGAAGCATTTAAGTTTACTTTTTACTCTTTGAAATTTGAGGAATTTTTTTGTACTGTTTTACCCACTTGCATTGATACAGCTGAAATTTGGTTAGTTAATTTAGTGAGTTTTGTTCACTCCTGAATGCTTTCCAGGGATAATTTCAGTACCTTAAACCAAATAAAGATTGAAGACATGTATCACTTTATTAATGAGATGTAATTGGCCACCAGTCATATGCATTTAGAATTAATAGCAGTATTAGAACACATAACATTTCACATGTGTTTAGTGTTTTGGAGTAATAAACATTTTTAAACGCTGTTCTGCAACTAATCTCAAGCAGATTAAAAAGCACACCTGTGCGTACACAATTACATGCAAACTGCACCTCCTCTCCTAAGGATGTGTGGGATACAAAACCCTGCTTGCATGCACTGCCTGTGGGAGATGTGGGTGCTCCAGCTTGCTGTGCATCTGGTGATTTCACATACCCCCTAGAAAAGCCTGGCACAAATCCACGTGCCTGCAGCTGACAGGGATGAGACACTGCTCCTTGGCATGGTGCACTGCACTGACAGGCCCCTATCTGGATGCAGCTACTCTGTGCCTACCAGGGATGCTCTGTCTTGGCCAAGACAGAGGTCATTGTGTTGGTGGGGTGACTTCTGGCAGTGTCAGATGAGGTTTTGATGAAAAGTATTTTGCTCCAAGATGTCTCCCTGACTCAGCACACATTTTCCTAATGCTTTGCTGCTCCTGAGGCTGATAGATTCTTTGTCAGAAATGTCTCTATTTACTATTCAGCCTGGCCAGTGTTGCTTTCCTCTTTAAGGTGATCTGTCTTGGGCAAATGTCCTCAGACAGTCTTAAGTATTAGGCCAGCCCCATGTTCTCATCTTTGTATGTTAGCTATAGATTTGTGCTCTCATGCATGCTTGTGGTGTTTATTTTTGCTTTGTTAGTTTGTATCTGTTTCCATGTTTCCTAATGCTTTTTGGTTTTCAGATCATTAAAGGCATTAAAGAACTCTTGATGAAGCCATATCAAGACTTTACCATGTTTCCTATCATTCTTCCACATCATGATGGTTTGTCATTGTGTCATATAATGTTGTCTTCTAGAAACCACCTTTGTTGGATTCCTTTTTCCCTTCTTCCTTCTAGAATTCCTTATTCTAGGCCCTTGCCTAGTAATTCAGAGTCTCAGTTTTAAAATAACACAGAGTTCATCATTCTCCTTATTTAGAGAGTACTCTAGTAATCTCTCAGTACTAGAGTATTTATTACAATTTCATTGTCATGCTCACCTAATTGTGTCACACAGATACATTTTCAACTGTAATTTCTTTATTATTCAAAATTGAAGGTAGTTATTAGTTTTCCCCCGTTCCTATAAGCTGCTCTTATTTTATGGAAAACATACCTGACTCATCCCAAGAATCTGGCAGTGGTTTGTGCCTTCCAGTGCAGCTTTTCAAACGCATTCTTTGATGGCTCAAGATCCCTTATTAATGCCAAAACTCATCTTTGGATGCCTGTGTATCACTTCATTAGGAGTAAGGACAATGTGTGATGACACTGAGCACAAGTTTAGCACTGAGGGCTGGAATCAGGAGCTGTGAATAGCTTTAAGTGTCTTTTGTAAGCCATAATATAGTGACAACATTATTAAATAATAGAAAACTGCAATTGCATTGAAACGTCTTTGTTGGAGGTGAAACTGGTAAAAGTGTAAATGATAGCTGGGAAGACTGGGTGATTTGTTTCATGTTACTTATCTTGAATTATTTCTGACTTGCTAGAGTGTGCTATGAGCGAGCCACCTTCAGCCCAACGATCCAAACCTTCATTCTTTCTGCCATCTGGCACGGGGTTTATCCAGGATATTATTTAACATTTTTAACAGGAGTACTAATGACACTAGCAGCACGAGCTGTAAGTACAAACCAAGTATCTTCATAAATAATAAGTTTTGTAAAAGCAAATTGCTCATGTTCATTGCTCCAAGGATGCCCTTTACTGTTAATACACAATCATCTGATAGTGGTGTTTACTTTTTTTAGTTACGAGAACAATGGGATGATTGATGAAAAGGAGGGCTTGATTGGTGGAAACAAACAAAACTATACACAGCCTATAACACCTTTGTAGCACCTTTGTATCTTTTGTGGAAGCTCTTCCTCTGTATTAACTGTTAGTGTGTTACTATTGCATGCTGAACAGGTTGATGTTATCTAAAATAATTTTGAAAAAATCAGTGACGATGAGTAGCTTAAAATTTGGGTGTCATTGCTATGTATTTCTAGAGTCTGCCTTATCCCTAATTTCTCTCCATTACTATTGTAAGGATGATAACTAAAGAATGTTCTCCCTCAAGCAGCACATAAAAATCTCTAGTGCAGTTACTATTTCAAGCTGGCCAGCCAATAGTGCAGCCATATTAACAAGCTTTTGCAGTTGCTATTCAGAACCATATGGAGACAGCAAATCTGCCAAGAAATCTCTCACTGTTCTGCCTGAGAAAGCTGTGTAAGAACAGAGACAGGTTTATCAGTCACTCAGTGGAAAAGAGGAGCAAATTACACATCAGATCAGAGTAGCATAACAGAGCACTTTTTTGTTGAAAGAACCAGGGGAGTGAGAAATGAAGCAGACTGCTCTGTGGTTGCTATAATAGCTAGGGGAAGGTGGTACTTCAGATTGATTGCTACTACATCAATAAAACAAATGCTTCTCTTTCTTCACAAGATATGGGTATAGTCCTTGTTTGACAGAACTGACTCCTTTCTTTACAATAGATACAGCTTTCTTCTTCTTCCAGATCTATCACAGGGAACTTTTGACATTTGTCAGCCAAGGGCTGGAGCAAAAGCCAAGGTTCTGGGACAGTTCACAGATAAAAGTTGTTTACTTAGTGAGATGAGCCCAGTAAGTGGAGTGCTCACTGCCCTTCATCCAGGGCTTCTCTAGTAGACTATATTCATGTTTCCTATGTATCAATCAATAGGCTAGTAAAAAAGTATTTTCAGTTTCTGTATCAACAGGTACTTAATATTAGCTAAGATATGTTAGAGCATATTGTTATTTAACTCTACTAGCCTTTAAATGCAAAGTTTGGCAACACTGATCCACACTTTGTTCTGTTATGCCTAAGCATGTATCCAACTCATTTTACTACCTTTAATCATTACAGATTTCATAACCGGGTGTTTACTAGTGGCAGCCATAGATTTGTGTTAAAAGTTGTTCTCCAAGTCCTAAAAATACAAGATTACAAGAAATTTTGTGAAGCTTCATCTGGGTTCTACAGAACTCAGGATCAAGTCCTTGCATGTGACCATAGGAATAACTAGAGGGAGATGGCAGAATGAAGGGTATGTAGCTAGAATTACTTGTTTGACTTAGCTTAACTAAGAAAAGACTGAGTGGGAATGTGGTATCCACAGGGCAATTAGAAGAACTAGAAGGGTCAAAAAGGGTTTTTAATGGAAAGAATTAAATCAGCAGGAGCTAGCTTTGGATACGAGGAGTTCGAGAGAAACTGGGGGTTAAGGAGGCTGAGCAGTGTACTCTGGTGTGCAGCTTTTCAGAGAGCACTGCTTCAGTGCAGCTGACTGGGAGGTGGAGCTGTGATATGAAGTGGGGTCAGAGGCTGAATTGAGCCCATCTTGGTTTGTCAGCACCTAAGACAGAGTGTGAGCAAGGAGAACAGTTCAGTCAAAGGAAGGAGAGGCAAAGATTTATTTATGTCTTTATAATTATAGACTTAAATAAAACTGGACCCAACCCTGTGTGGGATTTGGATTTGAGTTTTTTAAATTCTTCTGGCATTCAATCTTTTGAGCAGAATTTTAGAATAAAAGAAAATTCAGCATAGAAATTTGAGTAATTTTATGATAATCCCACTTGACAGAAGTTAAGACCCCTGAAATATGTTAGTAGAACTGATATTTTGTATATTCTGATGTATACCCTACTTGCTTTAAAATATATTTTATTAACAAGTGTATAAAAATGGCTTACTATATAGAGGCTTTTGACAGAAAGATTCTGGCCTTCACTTACTCCAGCCCTCTATATTTACAGTATGGCTTGATAGAATACAATTTCTGCCTCATTCAGATAGTCAATGCAAATTTGCATTGGTTTTAGGGTAGGATTAAATTATTTAAATTCTCTTTAAATTGATAAATGCTTAATTCCCATACTGAATGAATTGCAGGGAATTTGAACCAATTATTGAAGTTAATGGGCATTTTGAATAGTTCAGAGATATTTCACCAAACTGTAACATGTAAATTCATCCCATGACTTTTTTGTCAATTCAACAAACTGAGCTCTCAAGGTTTATTCCTCAGCTAACTCAGTATTACCTGCTTTTTCAGATAAGAAACAATATCAGACACTATTTTGTTCAATCTCCTGCTGTTAAACTATGTTATGATATTGTAACATGGATGGCAACTCAAGCAGCAATAAGTTACACAGTCGTGCCGTTTGTACTGCTCTCTGTGAAACCCTCTCTCACCTTTTACAGGTAAGCACATTCTACCTGTTTCCTTTGCTTTCACTTGGAATAGAAGTATTTTCAGTGGCAGAAGATTTCTGAAGCTATTTTAGTGATACAATTCTGAGATTGATTTGTAGCAAGTTTATAGTGCTTGAACAGTGTCTTGTGTTGCTCACACTTTTCTGTCATAACAGACTTATTTTTCAGGAGGCAGGGGAAAAAACCCAGCCAAAAACAAAACCAGAGGATACTTTTGAAATTACTATTTGCCCTTGAAACATTTTATAGCAAGACTAAATATTGGCTTCCCAGAAATAACTTGTGAAAAAAGTTGAAAGCAGACTTCTGTTCACTTTATGTAGTCCTAAATTGTCACCGACAGTTTTCCATAAAAATCCTTTCTGTGGGATTTTTCCCCTTCTGGGAAGCTGAGGCCCCAGAAGAAGAATGTAAACAATGGTTATCTGCTGCTGTGGAATGTAGCAGGTGCACCTGTGATTGGTCCATGTTGCTTGTGTACAAGTAAGGGCCAATCAGAGACTGAGCTTTCTCTGGGACAGAATCAGAGAGAGCTCTCTTGTTTTTTTCATTCTATTCTATTCTTAGCAGAGCAGCTTCTGAACTTTTCTCTCTATTCCTATTAGCATAGTAATAATGTATTATATATAATAAATTAATAAATCCAGGCTTCTGATCATGAGACTGAGATTCTCGTCTCTCTCACCCTGAAGACCCTTGCAAAGCCATGTAACACTAAATAATGTGAGGGAAGACTTAATTTTCCCCTTATTTTCCTTTTCTTCATTAAATATTAATGTTTCCATATCTTATGTGCAAAGTATATTTGTTAGAGTGGTCAGAGTTTCACTGATTTGTTGTTTCTGTTTGTTTTTTAGCTCCTGTTATTTCTGTCTTCATATTGCCAGCATCCTAGTGTTGTTGGTTTTTCCATTGAAAAGAACTCAAAAAGGAAGTAAAAAGCATGAAAGTGTCCAGCCTGTGTGGTCCAGAAAGCTAGAAGAAGAAAGTCTTTTGCAAAAGAACAATTATTCCACAACAAATAATAGTTTCAGTCAGAATCAAGAAATAACCTGCAGATATCAAGCATTAAAACAGTGATTGAGGAAATACTATGATGAATATATTTTGTATGTTTTCAGAAACCCATTTTTAGCACCTTTTAAAGGGGTTTGTATTTGTTTGCAAAGATATTTAGTAAGAAAAGAATGCATTACCTAGGAAAAATCACATACAATAGCAAGACTGGAAACAAAACAAATTAACCCCTCCCATGCCATGTCCCTGTGGGTCACGCCTTATATGAAGATATTACCATTACTTCAATGGGCACTCAGGACTTGCAACGTATGTCCATGGGGTCATATGTGTGCCCTCTGCTGAATGTACGTTGTGTATCCCAAGGCACTGATGGGGTGGAATAAAATTGTGTCAGTCTAGGATTAACAAATGGAAATTAATTTTCCAACTGAATGACTTGCCTTAAACCCTCTATTTACTGAAATATTGTTTCTAAGTGGGTATTTCAAGTTTGATTTTATGTGGAAAGTATTTCAAATATATAACACTATGTGCTATAAGGAGGATAATGAGAGGAAATGCAAAGTTACTAGAAGACTTTGGAGTCTTTCAAAGGGAATTGCAATAAGCATCTCAGTATTTGGAGGGTTTTCTTATCTCAAACTATTAGAGTACATTACAGAACTGTAAACATTGATGCCAAATTATAGTTAGGTTTCTTTAATAAAGAGTATAACTACTCTGAATGGATTAAAATGGCCCTTCTGAACAGATTAAAAACACCTGAAGATTTACCTTTTCCAGGGTAAGCTGGTAGCTGATAGCTCTAATGTAGGTTTCTTTTACTTTAAAGTACCTAAAGTACTTTACTTTAAAGTACCTAAAGTACCTGAAGTTTCTTTTACTTTTCAAGTACCTAAATCCAATAATACACTGCCAAGTGGGCATTGCAGCCAGAGGGGGAAAGGCAGCCACAAGGCACAGAAGACAATGTGCAAGCACTGGGATTTCAATGAAAGTGCAGTTTTGCCCTTAAATACCATAAATACTTGTTCTAGAATAGAACTGTTTTACAAAAAGTAATTTTTAATACTTAAAGTTATTTTGAATTTTCAGGCATCAGTTAGTTGATGATGCCTTCAGTATAAAATAACAAAATTACCTTGAAGCTCCAGCACATGGGTAGTCAAACATGAAATGACTATCACAACCAATTTCTGTATGATTGAGAATTGATGAACCTTTATCCAAAGAAGTGTGTGAATTTGAGGAAAAGCTTTTTCTTTGAATTAGAATTTTAGATGCAGATTTCATGTCTTATTTCTGGGTAACATAATGAAAGAAAGAAGTCCTTCAGAATATCTGAGTGTCTGAATTATGGAAGTGTAATTCCACAAATCAAGGAAACAATGTAGTGGTTATATCTATTTCCAATCATTTATTGTGATGATGGTTAGTGCTAGAGTACTACTGTTAAAGGGCTACATTTTAATTGCATATATTCTGTATTTTCATATAATTTTTTAAAGTAAATATAAGATGTTTATCCATGTGGGGTTTATTCTTAATTTAAACCAGATACAAAATAATACCAGAGAAAAATAATGCAGTTGATTGATTAATAACTAACAAATGATTAAGAAAATTTTGTCATAATATTTTGAAACCTGAAGTTTTAATCAAATATCTAGCTCCTGTTGGATGAGTATTCTTACTGCCAGAAGTGCAATGATGGTCCTCAGCTTTGGGGATATTGCCACGCAGAAATCATCACAGTACTCCCTGAAGAACCAGACCCTAAGTTAGGTCAGAGTTGTTTCCTTGCTGTCATAACTCTCTGGCCCTTGGCTCCTTGCCTAAAACTTCAGGAAGAAGAGAACATAACTTCCCATAATGTAGGTTAGCACTAATTAATCTACTCTGAAAGGGGGAACTGAATATGAAATGAGAGTGGATGAGTCTGTTCAGATGAGGAGGGATGTTCATTGTTTCACTGACAGCTGTGTTATCTTTAAGATAAAATAATCTCACTTCTAAATCCTTACTTTGATTGCCCAGGCAGACTTCCCCTTACATGGGGTTGTGGTTGTCATGAACTTCTTTGACATCACATTATGGTTTTCTTTTTGTTAATGAGTAAGGGCATGGTAGTTTGATCATCCTTGTTAGATACAGAATCAGCAAAGACTTTTTTTGCATTCTGCACTTGAAGGGACATTTACATAAAGGAACAAATTAGATTTGCACATTTCTGGGTGGGTAAGTAGAAATAGGGTTGATTCTTTCAGCATTTGTTACTCTTGAATTTAAATTCATCTTATTGGTGCAGTCTCCAAATCTATTTAAAAAAAAAACACTTTTGGATGCCAGTACAATGTGCTGTTTTCCTATTTATGTTCTCGTACTCTTGATTTACTGTTTTGGCATGTGTGCCCATGTGTGCTGTGGAGGCTTAGTAACTCTTCTTAATGAAATATGCAAACAGTTGTAAAGACTCCCAGAAAATAAGGTTTAGGGTTGTGCAGACTGGTACTTTAACATGAGTGAATTCAGAGGTACAGTTTTGTTCAGAACTTTTGTATGTTGGGAGGTTGAAACAACTAAGAAAATACATTCATACTTTCATTGAGCACAGGTGGCAAAATACAGGTTTCAAAATTGGACGCAACTTTTTTTCTTCATGATTTGAACTCAGTAATTGCAACACAAAAAAAATATTACAAGTAGTTCTGCACAGAATTTAAGTATAGTGTCCTAGGATTTACCCTTTAAATGCCATTGTTAAATATAAAAGTACTTTGAATAAAAATCTGCTCTTCACAAGAATGAATTCTCTTGGGGACTATGGAAAGACCTGTTTTATTTTAATGGCAGCACCCTGATTTTAGTCAGACTGGGGTTTTGATATTTCTTTCCCTCTGCTTTACTCATTTTCTGCCTTGCTATCACACTGGATCCTTTTTATCCAGTCAGTCATAAAGTCAAGAGCAGCCAGCCCCAATGCTTAGATAATTTTTAGGTTTTACACACATCATTTGATAATACTGAATTTGAAAGGATGGAAGTGATTTTTATTGCTCTTCTTAACAAAAATTGTGGAAAGTATATTTCCTATAAATGTTTTGGACATGAAGGAAACATGGTTTTTAAAGTATTCTTTCACTTATTAAATAATGTATATCCAAAAAGTAAAAGTGTTTCCTGTATTCCAGATCAGCACATTATGAAAAGTAAATGCAACATATCATTCCTAATTTTATGGTGCTTTGCAAATATTTGCCTATTGTGAACAGCTCATTCAGGCACTTAATGAGTTAATGTTAGTTAGTAAATGCAGTCACTCCAATCATAACTATTTGCTTGCTTAACATTTTTTAACTTATATGATTCTGTATGAATGAGAGAGATATATATTACATATTTAAATAATACTTTCAGTGGTGCCCACTACTGTTGTAATCAAAAAGGCTTTGATAGCTTTGCAGTTACAGATATGCCCTTCATATTCAGGAAACTTATTCTTCCCTGGCCATTCCTTAAGTTGACATGTAGACAAGATTTCAGTACTTTGTGACATTTGAAGATGTATTACATGTAAAAATATTGGTATGCATTTCAATATGCTCTTGGTTACAAATCACACTTTAGTGAGAAGACCATGAAGAGACCTTGGTATATTCCCTGCTCTGCACTGACGTATGGTGTAAGTTTTACCAATATAGTAAATTATTTATTAGAGAAATTTTACACTTTAAGAACTTGTTCTGTTTCCCCCAGGGGAATAAGTAATAATATAAATGCTAGATTTGTATGACAGGGTGCACACTAGGTAGTTTTGCCTCTTTTGATGGCATTGATTTGAATAGTGATAAAATGTCTTCTGGTGCAGAGGAGATGGTTGAGATCATCACCTCCTAATTCATATCAAAAGTAATTTTAACAAAATCTAGATTTTTTTTCTCTCAGAAGCTTTGCAAACAAGTTGTTGACAATTTGTTTAAATACACGATCAAATGTTTCTTCGCGTTTGCATAAAAATGTGTAACTTGCTTATACGTAAACTTTCACATGTTCAACTTTATAAGTTGGCCTTGAAAGATAAAGAAATTTAAAAGCACAAGTTAAATAATTTAGGCTTTCACTTCCCTTATCTTTAATTCTTTCACTTTGTAATTCTCATTGAATTCTGAAATCAGGTTTGAGAATTTAATTTTCATTGAAAATTCTGAAATACTACCATCTATGTAGAAAAGTGATCAGTGTTAGAAAAACAGATGGAAATAAATTTAGGGGGTTTAATATGATGCAGACTATGTATAAAAAAGATACACATTAGTTCTCTGCTGATTCATGACAGCATTTTGCTACATGATTGACCTTTATGTATTTATTTAGGTTCAGTAATACTCTGAACTGCACTTGGTGTATTTTTTAATTTTCTTGTTTAAAAATCAATTGACAATAAGCACTTCAGGAAGTATTTAAATGCTACTCTGAATAAGTAAGCAGGCACTCTAATGGACTGAGCCTACTCTCATAAGATTACCAGATCTGTCTGCATCTCAGCTAGTTTGCACTGTAGATCTTCATCCTCAGAGTCTGGGTGGGAAAGGGTGGCAGCGGAGAAGTCTCTGGTGAGAACATGTCCCATCTGTGGCTGGAAGGGTTTCCACAGTTCCCACAGGGACTAACCCTGTGTGCAGAGCTTGGCAGAGGTTGTGCTTGCTTGTGACCCAGGCTGCAGCTGCTCTGTACTACATCTGGCTGGATTTTTGACATGTTTGCTGTTTTAATCCAGACATTTTGCAAACATCATGAAATCCAGGCATCCACAAAGTCACCCGGCAAAGTTACAATTACAAATACTGCAACACTTGTTTATTATGGTCAAAGCTAAATGAAAAAAAAAAAAGATTTCTTAAAATTTATTTCAGAATGGGCTTTTTGTAGGTTTTTTACAAAATCTAACCATCAAATGTATCCATTTTCATCATAATAAATATTTAAACCACAGTTTTGCTCAGTTTAGGTATACAAATGTGCAAAAGCAAATGTTGCCACTTGATCATCATTTGTGCATTAGCTGTGTGTCCAGTGACTTAGACCTGGTCTTGGTTGTAGATGGCTTTAGATTTCTGAACCCATGTGCATATCCACATAAACATTGCATAAATTTTGAATTGAAAAACTGTGTGACTTCAGACTGAGATCTGAGGTAGGGCTACTTCTGGAGGAAGGTTTTTGTCTTGCTAGTGACTCAGTCCAGCACCTTATTCCAAACAAACCTCTTGGCAAAAGGGACCTCTGCACAATCTTCTTCCTTCCTTTTGTTCTCTAAGGGGGAGGTACCCCAGGCTGGATTTTCATTTAGGTTTCACTATAATATGTCATATGAATAGATAGCTGGGGTCCATGCTCTAGCCAGATTAGACTTGAAAACTGGGACAGTGTAATCTGAAACAAATAAATAGAGAAAATGGGGTGCCTAGAGATTGGTAATCAGAAAATGCAACATTACTTATTAAAGGTGCAACAATTACTACAATAAGTTAAGGAGTATTTGCCTATGCATCTTTTGCCTTTCTCTACGTTTTTCAGTTTCTCTTTACATCTTTTCTTTGTACTTTTTCTGTCCAGTGGTGTTGACTATTTCTGTGGAGAATCTGCTGATGTGTCTTACTGTGACAAAGGTGTCAAAATGCTACAATAGTAATTAGGTAGTTACTCTTAAATCCCAGACCTCAGATGTGTTCTAGATCAGTTAGAAGAGAACATTCAAAATGTATTGGATGAAAAATAGTGTAAGATGGGTAATATAGCATTATTCAAAGATGTTGTAATAAGTTATTGAATTTAAGAATTTAAAATATGGAACTTTATTCTTTCCTGCCTTGGTTACACATTCAAAGGAATAGTTTTACCTCAATGCAGAAGTAGTTATGCCTCCAACCACCCGTATGTTAAGGTGAGAGAACACCCCTAAAAGTGGATAGCTACAGTATTCCTAAATCTGCCTTTCCTGGTTCAGATTATAATACATTGTCGGTGAATTTCATTTTTATTATTCCAAAATATATATTTTTTAAAAAGTGTTATTTTTCAACAGATCCATAAACTAAGTGTTGGTGTATGGTAAAATTAAAATACCACTGTTAGTTACACTGTGATTGTGATATTTTAATAATTACTTATTTCTAATTTGTCTCAGCAGTGCTGCAGAAGCAGCATGCTGTTATGTTTTAAAGGTGTTTTTAACTTGCCTATAAATGTTCTTTTCTAATTTGTGTCTTTAAATCTGATTAAACTGTAGTTTAAAAAAAGCAAACTTGTTTTTCTAAATTCTTTGCTGTCTGTCTTTAATGAGTGGTGAAGAAGAAAATTATTTTAATGCAGTTTCTCCTTTTAGATTGCTAAATATACATTGCATGCATTTACACTGTTATTTGGAATATTCTAGTTCAAAATTGCATTTATTTAGTTTGTTTTCTAGAGCTTATATAGAAGTATATGTATATAATTATTTTTCAGTAGAACTAGTAAACAAAATTTTGAGTCTAGCCCCTTGTTACATGGGAAAGGTGCTGAAGCAATTTAAACCCTCCATCTCAGAGCATATTGCTACCCAGTGAGCACTGCTTCTGGATGTGACAACTGGGGTGTTTTTAGCTTGAGAAATAGAAACCTCATAACTGAGACATCAAATTCGGTGCTTTGGAGAAGCTGTTGCTTTAATTGCTGGTTCCAGAGAAGCAGGGCTACATGTGTACCATGCATGCATATTTTTTTTTCTTTTTGAAACTCAGCTTCCAGGACTCTGATAAAACAGTTTCTGTTGGCTGATGACAGTATGTCAAAGCTGGCTGAGCCTCCTGGACCTGCAGGTTTTTACCATGTGAGCTTAGAGTGTTGGAGAAAATAAGAGATATCATGTGTCACTACTAAAGAGAGGCTGTTTCCATCACTTCCTGTCACACACTGAAG